TTGAATAAATGCCACGATCCTACAGTCTCCTGTTGAATAGTTTTAGTTTTGGATAAACACAAACCAGTATGGTTGCGATATATGATTTAAAAAACACCCGGCTAGGGATACAGCCTTGCCTTGGATGTTCTAGAAGCAAGACTTGAAATGATTGAAATTTAATCAAAGGCTAGGTAGATGTTGTGTTTGCAATTGTCGAGTTTCCATTGAAGACCACCTGCTCGGGTGAGACCTTCAAGCTACTCAAATCAACAATCTTCATGGCGGTGAGTCCAACCATTATGGCAATGCTAAGTCCTACCACAATCCCTGATCCAATCTTCATGATGCCCGACCTGGATGGCGTAAACAACACAAACAGCGCTGGATACATGAACGACAGCGGAGTTGTTAGCAGGAATCCAATAATCGAAATCACAGAGCCCAGGCCACTGATTGGCACAATGGCGGTGGCAAAGAGAAAGACACACAGTGCAAGTGTAACGACTGCACGGGAGGGTGTCCTGCCCTTGAGCGAGAACCACTTCTGCAGGATGGGGATGATGACAAACATGTTGAATATGATACCGCTGAAGAATATCGGGCAGAACATGGTGTAGAGAGCCTTTGGAAGGTAGTTGCCAAGGTATATGCCATACCTCTCGGTCAAGTTCTCGACAATTGGAGATGAGGAGCCAAAGTGGAAGATGACTGGATCGCCTCCAACACCAGTTCCAACTGCTCTAAAGCCCATAAACCCAACAAATCCATACAGAAAGGTGGCAATGATGGCAGCAATGATTGTAACTTTCCTAACGTTCTTGAGCGAGGAGTCCTTCATGGAGTTGAAGATGTCCATGTATGAGAACTGGCAGTGCAGGGCAAATATGACAGCACCAAGGGGATTTGCCAAGTTTATGCCGCTGCTAAGATCCGGAAGAACCGTCAGGCCATCAGTGGCAGGCTTTCACAGCCCATAGACAATCATAACAATGCAGAAGACGACAGCAGTGAAAAGACTGAACTTTGCGAAGAAGGACAGGGAGGCAAGGTTGTCAAGCTTGGTCAGCAA